ATCATCTGCATTTCTAACTGTTCAAGATTAGACGTCACGGCATTATAAAACTTCAATTATTGTGGACGTCCTTGTTAGGCCCCGTACAAACCGCCGATAAAAAGGAAGCACATGTGACGTTGGCGTTTGTGTTGGAAGGTATTGGAATGCGCTCATATGCGCGTCGTCTACACCTAAGTTTAGTGTCAAGTTGGACCGCGTCGGGTTGAGTTCGGTACTACTGATGTCGAGCGTCGAGTATTCTCTCATCAAATGCAGACAAAGGACTTTCACCAACATTAATATTATGGACCAATGGGACAATACCTTATCGAAATGCAATTTGGCGGAAGATGTCAAAGGTCTCTGAATATCAGTGATTTCTATCGAAATATTGAATAAGATCGTGAAAATTCGACTGTATTATAAACAAGACCACTTTTTGATTCCAACATGATGCTTTTGTACAGAACTTTCATGTATTTTGATATATGTTATAGGTTTACATTTAACAATCGGTTATCCCCCTCAGCGAATGGGAATGCGGCAAATAATAATTCGATTTTCTAGCTGTTAAATTTGCCTGCAGATTTGGACGTTTGTTAATGCATGGCACTCTCGAATTTACCAACTTCAATATCATTACACACCTGTTGAATAGTATGGATTTGTCTGTATTTTGCAAGAAAATAGAATATAAAATAAATTCCGTCCAATTCCTTTACATCATAATAGTAATCATTTATTAATTTATGGGTTAATGAATTTCTTCAAAGCAATAAAAACATTATGTCCTCTCCATCCTAAAACACAGATAATGTGTGTAAGACGTGTCAATCCCTACAGCTCCCTGATGGATAATGCAATTACTATGGACAAAAAATTATGAAAAATGTTTCACAGATAATGGCTTTTAAGTCCAAAAAACTAGTAATGTTTATTGTTTGTCTATTTTTCTTTTTTGACTGGCGGGGTTATCTATCTGACACTCGCAGGGTTGCCAAGTCTAACGACGATCACATCCCGAGGAAAAATGTCACGAATAGTCTTATAAATATATAATATAATAATATAATAATATTTATTTACTCAATGTACAAGATAACAAACAATATGAGTAAATAAATATAAAATCAAAACAGGCCCAATAGAAGGCATCGCCTGTACATGGAGCAATAATTTAAGTTGAAACTGTAGAATGCAAAAGGACAAAAATTAGCTACAGTAGATTATGTATTTAGTTGATGTTCGTATTTAGGAGTTTATGAATTTCAGTCCTAGATATAGAATGTAGCCACTTTTTTAAATTTCTTTTGAAACAATTTCCGAAACGTAAATCTTTTAAGTCTTTAGGAATAATTTCATAAAATTTAGGCGCTAAATAGAGATATGATCGCTGCATTATAGATTTATGCGGTTGAGGAACTACTGTGCCACGAATTTTGTACCTGGTATAATGATTATGTTTAATTTTTTGGTCGGTGTTTACAAATTTATGGTAGTGAGTGATACTGTGTAAGAAATAAAGCTGTCTTATATCATACATTCGAACATCTGCATATAATTTTTCAGTGGGATAAAGTTCCGGTTTTTTAAATATCATTTTTAGAATACTTTTTGAAAAACATCTAAATTATAGATATGTGAGGAACATGCAGCTCCCCATGCTAATATACCATATGTGAGATGAGGCTCAATCAGTGCATGGTATAATGTTCGAAGATATTTTTCTGTCAATATATTCCCAAGGTATTTAATTTTGTAGGATACAAATCTAACTTTCTTTAAAATATAATTGACATGGATGTCCTATCGTAAGTGAGGATCCAAGACCACTCCAAGGTATTTTATGTTGGGCACTCTATTAATTTGCATTTTTTGATCATTAATATTGAAGGAGAAATTTGTGTAATTTGGCAGATGTCTAGCATAAGATCCAAATGGTAAAAAATGTGTTTTAGAGTAGTTAATGCTTAATTTTCTACTGTTAAACCACCGAATAATTTTGATAAAATCATTTTCAATTACATTTTTCAGATCAGACCAGTCAGTGCCTTCATATAATATTGCAGTATCATCTGCAAAACTAGTTATTTTGCCAACACAATTAATTTGGAAAATATCATTTAAATATATATTGAATAACAGCGGACCTAAGACAGTTCCTTGTGGGACACCACACTTAATATACATTTCTTTACTAAATGATCCTGATATCTGCACAGATTGTGGGCGATTTGACAAATAACTTTCGATCAGTGAGTACGCGTTTCCTCTGAAACCAATTCTCTCCAATGCTTCTAATAATAATTTGTGATTAACTGTGTCGAAAGCTTTCTTTAAATCAACAAAATGCAGATTGAAGGGATTCTGTTATCAATATTTTGATATATTTGATTTACAATTTTAGTTATTGCGTCCGATGTGGCCTTCCCTTCTGTAAATCCATATTGATTTTCACTTAAAATTTTGAATTTTGTGAGGTATCGAATCATTCTAGTAGATAAAACTTTTTCAAAAACCTTTGCTACACTGGATATTATTGATATTGGTCTATAGTTAACATCTGTTTTTGTTCCTGATTTATGTATCGGTATTATATTACCTTTTTTTAAAATTGAGGGATATATGCCAGATTCAAAGCATTTGTTGATTAGGTAAGTGAGTGGTTCTGTTATGTCCTCGGCTATAATTTTCAAATGCTCGCTTTTAATACCATCGAACCCAGGACTTTTCCGATTTTTTAAGGACATAACAGTGGTGTATATTTCACATTGTTTGACTTTATCCAAAATAAATGAGTTCAAAGTTCTTTTTGGAGGCTGAGTATTTTGTACATTTGCTTGTATATTACTTGCTAAATTTTCGCCTATGTCAGTAAATAATTGTACAAATTCATCGCATATCTGTTGAGTATTTTTTAGTACTGTTCCCGATGTTGTATTTAACTCAGTGACACACTCTTTAAATTTTGTTATCCCAGTAACCTCATCAATAGTTGTCCAAAGCCGCTTAGGATCATTTAAGTTATTATTCAATTTATTTAGGTAATGTTTTCGTTTGGTTTGCCTTGCAAGCTCTATAAATTTATTTTTATATTGGTTGTAACAGTCGGTATTCTCTGTAGTTGGCGTTAGTTTCATTACATTATATAGTCTTTCTTTTTCTATTGCCGATGTTATTAATCCTTTGGTTATCCAGGCATTTCTGCTTTTCTCTTTGTGACTAATTATTACTTTATTGGTACTAATATCTATTAGTTTTTTTATTTTCTCTATGAACAGTCCCGTTGCTTTGTCTATATTATTTATAGAGTATAATTGTTCCTAGGATTCTTGTTTGACATTTGATATTAGTTTTGAATTGTCGACAAAAAATTTGTAATTTTCCTGGTTGTTATTAACGGTAGGGATGTTAGAATGTTTTTCATTTGAAGATATCAGTAAAATAGTGGAGAAGTGGTCAGTAATATCGCTTTCTAGGATTATTGGTATACAAGTAATTTTGTTGGATAGGTCTTTCACAAAGCAGTGATCTATACCTGTGCCACTGATGGACCTTGTAGGTAGGTTTATATAGGACAGAAATCCGTTACTTGATAAAGCATAGTATATTTCAACAGTTGGCGGAACTTACTCCACTGGGACCAGGAGGGTGAAACGGGATATTAATGCACAATCTGGCAACCCTGTCGCACCCTCACAAAATGGCCGCTGATAATGTCACAAGTCACCGTGTTGTCATTTAATAGCTTGGAATTAAATCTTCAGAGTATGTTTTGTGACTGGTACCAAGAGTTGGCAGATCCCACACATGTGTCACTTCTTGAAATGCAATAATCAGCTGTATTCAAATAATGTCTAATATAAATATATCCTAGAATGTGTACTCGTGAAAAAAGAAAAATATGGCAAATTTGTAGTTTTTTTTTGCAGGTTTTAGGTTTGCTGGTAGCTTTAAGGCATATATTTGGGAATTTCTTAATCGCTGTGAATATAGTGTGGATGTTTGTTCAGTTCCTGAACAACGAAAAATATTCAACTTTATGGATGTATGGATATCAAAAAACCTTAATGGTTTTGTGGGAATATCAATCTAAGGTACCATAATGGTTCTGATGAACGGCAAGTAAATGAATGAACGTTTGGTAACGAGCAATATCTTTTGGTAGAGCCTGTCATCAAGTATAGTATGTAATGTATTTTATATTATATTTTCTTGCAAAATACAGACAAATCCACACTATTCAACAGGTATGTAATGATAAGTTTCAGTATTTTGAAGTTGGTAAATTCGAGAGTGCCATGCATTAACAAACGTCCAAATCTGCTGCCAAATTTAACAGCTAGACAATCGACCTATTATTTGCCGCATTCCCATTCGCTGAGGAGGATGACGGATTGTTAAATGTAAACCTATAACATATATCAAAATACATGAAAGTTGTCCTGTTTTTTCTGTACAAAAGCATCATGCTGGAATCAAAAAGTGGGCTTGTTTATAACACAATCGAATTTTCACGATTTTATTAAATATTTCAATAGAAATCACTAATATTCAGAGACCTTTGACAGCTTCTGTCAAATAGCATTTCGATAAGGTATTTTCCCATTGGTCCATAATATTAATTTCGGTAAAATCGGCCCTAAGTGCATTATATCGACCACAATCTTACTATTTTTTATAATCTAGTCTGGAACGTTTTTAAATCGGGTAATTAACAACTAAATGGCATTAAGTTTTTCTAAGTTAAGCCAAAATTTGTAGTCAGTAGGCAAGTTTCATTATATTAAATATTTAAAACACACATGACAACAGCGCGTCGATCTTTCATCACTCTTATCGAACCGGCAATCGATCGCAAACTGTAACGATAGTTAGTTATTGTTCGCGTACGTTGTCGTATTTATTTACAATGTTCTCGAATCAAGAATTCGCCGACATGTTGTTAGTTTACGGTGAAGCTCGTCAGACTTCAAATCTTGCAGCTCAAATTTATCGCGACAAAAAAAATAAATATATCAGCCAGCTTGGCTAGCAAACCCCAGAAGATGGTTCTTAATGGCTCTCTTGAATGCAAGTATTCCCTTCTTTTTGTAATTGCCATTAAGACTATCACACACCTTGACAGCGTTGTAGGTGAAGATATGATGGAAAATGTTGCTCCTATAACTAGGTATATTGAAGTCAGATTTATGTCTGAGATTCCTGTAATTGAGATCGCCACGTGGTACCAGCCTTTTTCCAATTCCATTTTTGGCCTGAGAAAAGTACTTTTGGAATTACAAGAGTATTATTATCGAGAACCCAGTGTTTTATTTCTCCGAGTACAACTACATCTGATACTACATACACAACAGTGGGAAGCAAATTTTTCCCGTCAAAAGTTGTTCCCTGTTACTTCTAAATTCCACCGGAAATTTATAATCGAAACGGAATAGGCCACTTAAGTGATATAATGTCCGACATCCACCTACGATCGAAATCAAATGAAGGAAGCGTTGCCCCCAATATCACATTCACTTCATCTTCTAAATTGATACAAATGGCTTCTTTTCGGATCAGGTGTGATTGATACATCAAGGTGATTCACCTGAGGCATGGAATGCTTGGATCTTCATTAAAGTCCGAAAAAGTGTTTGTGAGAGGCAACGCGGAACCTGTTACTTTTGATATATTTCATTTTGTACAGTGATGTCTAAATACGGAGCTTAGTAACGCTCACGATAAAATGGCGTCGATGGTTGATCCAATAATAAAAACAGCATTTCTCAGACTTAACTATTGCTGCCACTCATTTTCGAGCTATAACTTTTCCTCATTTGGGTTTGATTAGTGTCAGGCTCTGTACTCTGAGTTTCTTGCAAATCTATCTCGGACTCTGAAGACGAATTTTCTTGCACTGGTATGATTTCCCGTAATTTTCCTCAAACTTATTGAAAACACAAAGAAAAACGGGAAACCCGTTTTCAAAAAGGACAACACATAAATGACCCGTCGGGCACAGCTAATATACTAAGTGACATATAAATCCGAACACCCAGTTTAAATGGTTTCATTTTAATAAAAGTTGGTGAATGTATTTATCTTACTGTAAATAACAAGTGAAAAAATTTTCAGCCTTATCAGTTGGACATTCCGGTTTTTATACTGCGTTTTTTTAATTCACTAACGCTCTAAAAATGAATATTTCAGCCGCAGTAAAGAATCAACGTTGGCGGATTTTGGTTCTTGACATCCTTTACGATCGGTTACGATGCCTAGAGTACGGAGACCTGTACGATTTCGTCAACTTAGTGAGTTTGATAGGGGCCGTATAGTGGGACTTCGGGAAGCTGGACTTTCTTTTCGGGCAATTGCAGTTAGAGTGCAAAGAAGTGTAGACACTGTGGTTAGGTGTTGTCAGGCATGGCTTCGAGAAGGCCGTACGCAAAGAGCAAGGGGCACGGAAGACCTATTGGCATGCGAAGTGTTTACCGACGAATGAGGAGTTTTGGCTTGTTTTCATACCGGCCACACTGGGTCCTCCCTTTAACTCGAGAACACCGACGTAGTCGCCTTGAGTGGTGCAGACAACGGTCACTCTGGGATCAGGAATGGAACAGTATTATCTTTAGTGACGAGTCTCGATTTTGTTTAGGCATGCACGATGGTCGTGCCAGGGTTAGAAGGCGACGTGGTGAAAGGAGGAATCCACAGTTTTTTGTTGAAAGACATGTTCATCACACTGTTGGAGTTATGGTTTGGTGTGCTATAGCTTATGGTTCCAGGTCACCTTTAATCTTCATTAGAGGTAACATGAACGCGCAGCGTTATATCCACGAAGTTCTAGAACCCCATATTTTACCCTATCTTGACACCCTGGCAGATCCAACTTTCCAACAAGATAATGCCCGACCACATGTTGCAAGAGTCACAATAGACTTCTTTCAACATAATGATGTCACATTGTTACCATGGCCACCAAGATCTCCCGACTTATCCCCAATTGAGCACGTGTGGGATATGATGGGTAGGAGATTGCTCAATTTGCAACGTCCTCCTCAGACTCTAGAAGCACTTCGAGAGGAGTTGGTGGTTGCCTGAAATGAGATACCACAGGAGGACGTTGACCACCTGATCAGAAGCATGCCTAGGCGCGTTGGAGAATGCGTAGCACATCAGGGTGCATCCACACATTATTAAAGGACAAAGGGCTTTAAAGCAGTGCAAACATTTTGAAATTTTTATCATCTACTTATTATGCTTCATTAAGTACTTATACAAAATTTTATTAAAATAAAACCATTTAAACTGGGTGTTCGGATTTATATGTCACTTAGTATATTTAAATTGTACCATACCAAAATGCATAAGATTTTCATTGTTAGTGGAACAGTAAGTGAATCGAAAGATCGTGATAACTTAAACGTTTATCCAACTTACAATACAAAGATCACAAATAAGGAATAAAGGTGTAGGGGGAGTCCGGGAGAGTCTAGCAGGTGGGAGACAATAGCCGCTGCTCATAGAATATTTGTGGCACGAGATGTTACGACATTGCCACACTTCTCAGACGTCATAGGCACCTCCCACCCCGCTCACGTAGCGCCGTTACAATCGGCAGTTTGGTTTGGAAGTAAGAAGTGGCAACACGTTTTCGTACCTGGAAAGTGAGTTTATTCAGTTTTCGACATTTGATCTCTGTTCTTTACTGTGGATAGATTCCAGCACGCCACTTATATACACCGTAAGTGTAATTATTCTAGTCATATTTACGACAGCCAGCTTTTATTCAAGTGTCATAGCTTTTTTTTAAATTTAATAACTGGTAGTATGGCGTGGAGTGGGAGACATTACCCTGGCGTTGGGAGGAGACTTTACCCAGGGTAATCTCTCCCTCTCTGTCAGGGTCGTTTCTCCCGCAATAAATTTTATTCATTTTATTTCAGAGAATGCCCTTCAACTATAGAAAAAAACAAACAACTAGAAAGAGAAGCAATTTAGATCTGCCAGTAATAACAAATGCTTTAGGTGACATTGATCAAGGAAAGTCTATCCGAGGTGTTGCTTTGGAATATGGAATTGACAGAAATACCTTAAGAAATTATTTAAGAGACAGGTCTAAATTGACTAAAATAAGTGAACAAGGAAGCCAGTTTAAAACATCTATGATATTTACAATCGAAGAAGAGAAGGCGCTTGTTGAATATCTTATAGCTTGGAGCAAAATGAATTATGGATTAACCAGACAGGCGACTATGCAGCTAGCATATGAATATGCAACAATGAATTCCAAAAAGGTTCCAGATTGTTGGACTTCCAACAACTGCGCAGGAAAAGATTGGTTCCGGGGATTTATGACAAGAAACCCTGAACTAAGTTTGAGAACCCCAGAAGCCACCAGTTTATCCAGATCAACCAGCTTCAATAGAAAAAACGTTACTGATTTCTTCGAGAACCTCAAAGAAGTTAGAGAAAAATACCAATTTGAAGCACATAACATCTATAACTGTGATGAAACAGGGTGTACGACTGTACAAGAGTGTCCCAAAGTAATAGCGAGCAAGCATATGCGTCAAGTAGGACAAGTTACTTCAGCTGAACGCGGCAGCCTTGTGACCGTTTGCTTCGCTGTGAACGCTCTGGGAAATGTTCTTCCTCCATTTTTCATTTTCCCTAGGGTTAGATACAACGAATGCTTTGTAGCTGGTGGGCCTCCAGGCTCACATGGTGACTCCTATCCTAGTGGATGGATGACAACCAAGAGTTTCGTAAAATTCATGGAGCATTTTGTGAAATATTCGAACGCATCTTTTAATAACCGAGTCCTGCTTATCCTCGACAACCACGAAAGTCATATCTGTGTTGAAGTCGTTAAATATGCAAAATCAAATGGAGTCACTTTGCTGACTATACCCCCCCAATGCAGCAGAAAGCTACAGCCATTAGATGTTTCCGTCTATTCATCTTTCAAGACTAGATATAATTCAGCCATGAATAACTGGATGATCAGTAACCCAGGACGAACTGTTACGATCTACAATATACCTGGATTTGTAAACACAATCATGTCGCAGGCTTTTAGTCTATCCAATATTTTGAGTGGATTTCGATCAACTGGGATACACCCCTATAACCCGGACATCTTTACAGATGACGACTTTTTATGCTCTGCGGTAACAGATAGAGAAATGACTAGTGAACTCCAAAAGCAAGATGTTTCTTCGATTACTTCACCCTCGGTCGCTGCAAAAGTACCATCAGATTCAACCACGGTCGCATTACCTTCAACATCTACTGTACGTCAGTCAGAGCCTTCAACATCAGCATCAGTATTCACGAATGAAACTGCAGCTCCTAGAATCAATTCACCATCAATTTTGACTGCGGAAGAATCCGAGCAAGCAAATACAATACCAAGACGATCAGCAGAGATAGCTTCTACATCTAATGTTCTGGATATGTCAACGGTAGATTCTGATTCCATTTCCATTTCCATTTCCAAAAGCTACTTCTAGAAAAAGTCTTCGTCGTGGTAGACAGCCCGGAAAAACTAAAATTTTAACAAAAACGCCAGAAAAACTAGACCAAGATGATAAGTATGCACCGAAAAATAAGAAAATTAAAATAACTACGAAAAGGCAAACAGGCAAAGCAAAGAAAAAGACAGTAAAAAGACAAGTTTTACACTCAAGTGACAGTGAGACAGACCTTGACGAAGAACCCAAGTATGATGATAGTTCTGATAGTCCCTGGGATGAAGTACCAGATGTTACTGATAATTGGTTTTGTTTCATCTGTGGGGAAGACAAAGTTATGGACATGAGACTTTGTGCTGTTTGTGGCAAATATGTCCATGAAATGTGTGTTGGACTATCCAAAGACGATAAGGAGCAGTTTATTTGTCCCAATTGCTCCAATTAAAAAAAGTAAGACTGATGAAGGTTGTTATTATCTTTGCTCTTAATTTTGAGAGTTATTTTAATTTTTGTTTTACTGACAACATACAAGGTTTTTAAGTTTAAACTACTTATAAGGTTGACTTCCTGTTTCTGATGGAGAGTATGACTATTTTATAAGTAGATTTTGTTATCTTGTTATGTATTATTTTATTTTTGTTCTTAATTTTGAGAATAACTCTAATTTTTATTTTGCCGACAACGTACAAGATTCCATACCAAAAAATAATTTGTATTACCTACTTTTAAGCTTTAACTACTTATAAGGTTTGTTACCTAGTTATGTGAAAGATGGAGTAGGTTCAGGTAATACTATGTGCCATATTTTTTTTAATTAAATTTATAGATTTACAATGTGTAATGATTATTTTGCCTAATCCTAAAGTGGAGGGTAAAGGCTCCCTACTCGAGGGGTCAAGTCTCCCACCCATGCGGGAGATATTAGCCGAATGTCACCTTGGCCGAAATCGTTGATAACTCGTAAACTCTTAATGCTACATTAAGCTTTCTTGAGAAAAAATGTAGCTAAATAATGCGTTCTAAGATATAATTTATCGGAAATGAAGATTTGTAAGCGTGTAAAGACTTAAAAGCATTTTAGTGGAAGGTGGGTATACTCTCCCGGACTCCCCCTAAATAAAATATTACGCTCACACAATAACGCAAAATCAATATGTCAAAAGCTATTTCCGCATTTCAAATACTGGCATACTTGTATACGTTTATTTGTTTCTTTTTTTTTTGTTCCGCTGTTTTTAATTAACGATTTATTTTCGTTGTTGGTATATTTTCTGTAATTGGGCATACAATGGGAATTATAAATAAATAAACGTACAAATGAAAAGTCTCATTTATTATACTCAAACATAGAAATCTACGATTTTGGACACACTGATAAAACAGAAAGCTATGCCTGACAACACCTAACCACAGTGTCTACACTTCTTTGCACTCTAACTGCAATTGCCCGAAAAGAAAGTCCAGCTTCCCGAAGTCCCACTATACGGCCCCTATCAAACTCACTAAGTGTAAGACGAAATCGTACAGGTCTCCGTACTCTAGGCATCGTAACCGATCGTAAAGGATGTCAAGAACCAAAATCCGCCAACGTTGATTCTTTACTGCGGCTGAAATATTCATTTTTAGAGCGTTAGTGAATTAAAAAAAAAGCAGTATAAGAACCGGAATGTCCAACTGATAAGGCTGAAAATTTTTTCACTTGTTATTTACAGTAGATAAATACATTCACCAACTTTTATTAAAATAAAACCATTTAAACTGGGTCTTCGGATTTAAAATGTCACTTAGTATATGTAACATTGACCCGTATTCATAAAAGAGAAGCATATCCTTGGAAGCATAAGGTAAAGGTATAAGGTCTTGCTTCGGAGAAAAAGGTAGAAGTATAAGCGTATCCTTGTTTTCATATTGATTGAATATCCTTTTACTTATGTCCCTGCTTTGAAGGATATTCTTATACTCAAAAAGCAAAAGCCCTTACTTCAAATTATTATATATACCATCTGGAGGATTTCCTTCAAAATTTGCAAGTAAAAAGATATCCTTTGTTTTATTAATACGGCTCAATGAAGCCTTGTACTTACACGTAGTGCCTTTAATATCATCTAAACTTCAACTGAGCAAATGGATTTAATTAAAAATTTCCACTGTATTTCCTGTCGTCCGCATTTCCTCGCCGAAAGGCCGGATGTCACCCGCTTTCCGTAGTAAAGAGGTCGTTCCCATCCCACGTTCATTTTCCTTTGCGATTACAAGTATCGGCGGATCTCGTGTGATCGGCACGTGGATGACACTTTTCTAATTTACACGCTGGAAAATCGCCCCGGGCGTATCAATTTGTAAATGAACCTACGGCCAACTGTTTTGTAGCTGTAAAGGCGGTTTTTAATCACATTTTCGCTCTACGGCTGGTATTCATCGATATGCGACAGGGGCGGATCTAGAAAATGTTTTTGGAGGCGCCATCTGATCCAAACATGTTGAACTTGGAATCTTCACCGAAACATAGCCTCATTCAAGATGCAACCGTGCATATGGTGATCGGTACTTACGGTTTTTTCTCGAGATTTAATCTTGTACTTATAGTTTTCGTAGAAATACTAACAATTCCTTTTGTCTCGATTTCGGCTTTTATTTGTCGTGGGGCTTTAAACGGATCTTTGGACGAAATTACTTTTATTAATCTAACTGATCTAGCATTTAGGTTTCTAGGCTGACCACTTTTCTTAGAGGCTTTCAAGATACCTTTTTGTTTATATTTCTTCGGCGTTATTGAAAAAGTCACTGAGTCCAAAATCGGCAATTTTATGTTTAGACCATCACTTATCTAAAAAAGGCGTGATCATTAACGTGGCAATACTCACTAAGTCCAAAAGTTAGTGTATAACTGGCTGCCAACATGTGAAAAATACCGAAGTCACAATACCAAGCAAAAATGGACTTTTACACCTTCAATGACTGGACAAATATTTTCAAAATGGCTCGATCCAATAGAAGAAGGAAAAAAGTGACCATATGTCATTAAGGAACTAAAATGCTCAGACTTAATTGATTTTAAAACAACTTTTCAAACACTCCTAAAAAAGAGAACAGTTAATACGCAGGGAGGAAAAGTTAGATGGCTTCAGGTTAAATGCTTCAGAATTGAAAAGTTCAGTACAGATATTATAAAATACAGATATAGCCAATCCGGTGAATATCTTTGCATAAATATCCTAGGACAAGGCAGACCTTCAACGTCTAAACCTACGCCCACTAAAGCATACTCGGCGATGTTGCCGATTTCAGTTCAAGAATATAATGATCTGAAAAAGTTATGCACCACTGAAGTAATTTCTGGAGAATACCATCACTGGTATTCGTTATTAACAGTCTCAAAATCTGTTAGGAACAAAAATCCTGAGCGCAGTATCTAGCCTATATTATACTAAGTGACATATAAATCCGAACACCCAGTTTAAATGGTTTTATTTTAATAAAAGTTGGTGAATGTATTTATCTTACTGTAAATAACAAGTGAAAAAATTTTCAGCCTTATCAGTTGGACATTCCGGTTTTTATACTGCTTTTTTTTAATTCACTAATGCTCTAAAAATGATTATTTCAGCCGCAGTAAAGAATCGACGTTGGCGGATTTTGGTTCTTGATATCCTTTACGATCGGTTACGATGCCTAGAGTACGGAGACCTGTACGATTTCGTCAACTTAGTGCGTTTGATAGGGGCCGTATAGTGGGACTTCGGGAACTGGTCTTTCTGCACTGGTCGCCGCCGTAGAACAACAGACCGTGAAGATCGCCGCCTAAGATTATTGGCCTTAAGGGACCGTTTCTCCACTACCAGGTCCATTGCAAATGAATGGTTTGCAGAACACGGAAGACCTATTGGCATGCGAAGTGTTTACCGACGAATGAGAAGTTTTGGCTTGTTTTCATACCGGCCACACTGGGTCCTCCCTTTAACTCGAGAACACCGACGTAATCGCCTTGAGTGGTGCAGACAACGGTCACTCTGGGATCATGAATGGAACAGTATTGTCTTTAGTGACGAGTCGCGATTTTGTTTAGGCATGCTCGATGGTCGTGCCAGGGTTAGAAGGTGACGTGGTGAAAGGAGGAATCCATAGTTTTTTGTTGAAAGACATGTTCATCACACTGTTGGAGTTATGGTTTGGGGTGCTATAGCTTATGGTTCCAGGTCACCTTTAATCTTCATCAGAGGTAACATGAACGCGCAGCGTTATATCCACGAAGTTCTAGAACCCCATATTTTACCCTATCTTGACACCCTAGCAGATCCAACTTTCCAACAAGATAATGCCCGACCACATGTTGCAAGAGTCACAACAGACTTCTTCCAACATAATGATGTCACATTGTTACCATGGCCACCAAGATCTCCCGACTTATCCCCAATTGAGCACGTGTGGGATATGATGAGTAGGAGATTGCTCAATTTGCAACGTCCTCCTCAGACTCTAGAAGCACATCGAGAGGAGTTGGTGGTTGCCTGGAATGAGATACCACAGGAGGACATTGACCACCTGATCAGAAGCATGCTTAGGCGCGTTGGAGAATGCGTAGCACATCAGGGTGGATCCACACATTATTAAAGGTCAAAGGGCTTTAAAGCAGTGCAATCATTTTGAAATATTTATCATTCACTTATTATGCTTCATCAAGTACTTATACAAAATTTTATTAACATAAAATCATTTAAACTGGGTGTTCGGATTTATATGTCACTTAGTATATTTTTGACATCATAACATGCGGCTTACCTAATTAGTTTTGTCGCCACGTAATGTAGTCGTATTTTTATGAAAATAAAGATGATTCAGTTGCAAATATGATTTCAATACTTAGCTACAACACTTAAAGACCCCTAACTGTTTTATTTATTACCATTTCACAGTCTGCCAAAAATCATTAAGGCCATCAAGTTTCGATTTTCGATAGTTACGAAAAATAATTTTCCAATCCGACCTACTGTTCATAAGTGCATCCTTTCAAAAATCCTTATTACAATTTCAATGCATGGCTATTGTACAGAACCGAATTTTACGAGATATTTCAAGTTTAAAATCAATTTGGACTTAACGATGTTTGCCAGAACGCCGACGATTTGTTCAACGCTTCAGCTTCAAATTTTTGGCAATGTCCACTTGACGATGACCATCTTTATATAACTCAATGATCTTAGTTTTCACATCGGAAGACATTTCTGGGCCACGCGGCATGGCCTTAAAATCGCTCAACTTATTTCACAACAAGCTATTACAGTCGTTAATCGTCATATTTGATAGAATAATCGATGTATCGTCCGCGTACATATAACAGGCTCCAACACAGGTCCTTGTGGAACGCCAACATCTATATTTAACCAACTAGACTTGAATGCATTAGTTGTCCTGAGCAGTTATGAGTTATTGATGGGTTGAACCGTT